TGTATATATATATATATATTGTACTGTTATTTGTATTGCGTATTTGTGCATTTTTATATCTATATGGCTTGCATTCATTTCCACAGTATGGTGTACTTTCTGCATGGCCGTGAAAACGATTATTGCAATGTATTAGTTTGAATAATGCGTACACGGTTATGTGCGCATGCGTGTGCACTTACAACCTACTACATTAGGAATACTTTCTCATATATGAGTTTCTAGTGTTGTCTACGCCTGTCACATATATATGGCTCTGTTCTGCGCTCTTGAACCGTCCTTGCCCATATACAACACTGGATTCAACTTTGCTTGCCTATCTGTTTGATACACCCAGATTGGAACCCAGGGCATGGATGTGCTCATGGTAGTACTACAGAACGACCGTTCTGACGTAGAGATCGTACGATACGCTTTGGAGACACTCGCATGTGTATTCCAGCCAGACGACGCGACCAAAGGCGATGGTAAGGGTAGGTAGTATTAACTGGGGATGGGTTTGAATAGAGGAGCTTGGTTACTGGCGATGGTAAAGGTAGGTAGTATTAACTGGAGATGGGTTTGATTAGAGGAGCTTGGTTACTGGCGATGGCAAAGGTAGGCAGTATTAACTGGAGATGGGTTTGATTAGAGGAGCTTGGTTGCTGGCGATGGTAAAGGTAGGTAGTATTAACTGGAGATGGGTTTGATTAGAGGAGCTTGGTTACTGGCGATAAAAAAGGTAGATAGTATTAATTGGAGATGGGTTTGATTAGAGAAGATTTTGGTTACTGGCGATAGTAAGGGTAGGCAGCTTTAATTGGAGATGGGTTTGATTAGAGGAGTTTGGTTACTACGGACTTGCTGGATCGTGTTTATATCATTTTGCTTAGGGATGCCTGGTGTGATTAGATTCAGTCAGTGCTGCAGAAACACCTGCTACGCTGATAGTGTTGACGTATGCGCTAGGGTTCTAGCCCGTGTATATTCGCATATTCATACTATAAGACAATACAGTGGAGGTAGATTTGCAGTACCTAGGCTACGAGCTAGGAGGATTGGAGCGTACCGCTATACTAAAACTGGAAACATCCCGTGTGTATCTAAATATGCCAATACTCCCAAGATGGAGACATACAACTTCATGTCGGCCCTTTTTGCTCACACTTGTATGCGTATTTAATTGCGCATAGAATACAAGTATTTTTACACACGCATTCTTTCCGGCGATTGTGTGGCGATTGTGTATGTGCTTACATCGAGTTCTTCTTCGTCGTATATATATATATATACATATTATTTAATATCTATTCATATTTATATATTTAGATATATA